AGCAGCCCTGACTGCGGCGTGAGATACCCTGTTTAGGCCAGAAAGAGACTTTGCAGCTGTGCTCAACGTAAGTGCTTTGGACAGCGGCACCTCGCGGGTAGGCAGAGATTGGTCTTGCAGGAAGAGGTCTGCGTTTTAGAAAGGAAATGTCCGTTCCCACCACTGCTTTAAGATAAGGCCCTGATCAAAAGGTGTGTTTGGCATCTGCAACGTGTTTTTTACAGGAAGCGAATACGAGGCTGGAAAGATTGCGAAGAATTTTCAGTAAACCAGCTGTCATAGATACGAGTCACACTGAGTCTACAGACCATTATGTTTTAATGGCTTCTCCTGCATCACAGTATTTCTTTATATGACTTAAAACCAAACTATTTTAAAATAAAACAATAAAATATGGAACCCATTACTTTGTCAGATATGGTTTTAAAATGGTATAAAACCAACAAGACATTTATATGGAGATAAACTTGAATATTCAAAATTATCTAAAAACACTTGTACGGATGTGAATCTGTTCCCTGAGTGAGCCTAGAAGATTGTTTCTGCAAATAATAGAAAAGGTTTATTTTAGTCGCCTATCACTGGAGAATTTTCCAGTTAAAGGGCATAGGCAAGTAGATTGACAGAGTTGCAAATCTTAGTTCTCAAAAATTCTGACAATAGTCAGAAGGCTGACAAGGCAATGTGGTTTTTGATAATTATCTTTTAGATTACTGTAAAATACAGCTGTCCACCCTAATCATACATTTCTCCCAAATGATCTTTGCTTCTTCCTGCACCAGTTAATCTTTATATGTGTTTTTTCATGACTGAATTTTAACCAGGTTGATTTTTAGGCACTCTCAGTAGCTAGGTCAAATAAAGTGAACATCACAGTCTGCATCTGCGTATGCAGAACTCTCGGCATTACCCCAAAGGACAAAATGAGCAGAGGGAAATTTTATGGTACTTCATATAAAAGCTAACCAACAAAATCAGGGCAGGAAATAGGGGTAATATAATCACATTTTTCACTGATTACCGTAGCTTATTTTAGAGGGGAGAAAAATAAGTATTCCTGTAACACCTACCATATGTTATGTTCTTGGCTGTGTAAACCAGTGTGACCCAGTCATCCTGCTGAGCAGGAGAGGTGGCCTGATGGCACCCTGCATGCTGGTTCTTGCAGAGAGGGAAGGGGTTGTAAATGATACTTCAACTGAATATTTGTGGTTGGTGCTTGTGAACAAGTGAAACTCAGTCTGCGGAGCTTACAGTGAAGCCTGAGCATTTTCCCTGCCAGAAATGAACTAGCTAATTAACAATGTAAATGTTTTGCAATGCATGGAAACTACAGAGTGACATCGGGCACAGTTTGTCTCTCTGTGTTATGGAAATGGAGCAAATTTTGAGACGTGAATATTGAGGGTAAACTGAACAAATCATGAGTGATTTTTTTTACAAGCACAAGACTTCATGCATTCATTTGAAGTCGTTCAAAAAGAGAGATGTCCAAATATATTTACTGGATTTCTTTTTCAGATAAATTCACACAGGACACACTTATTACTGGTTTACAAGATAGGATAAAGGCATAACTAAGAAGAAAAAAAACTGTGACTTTAAAGACTTAAAAAGGGAAGTTTATTTGCTGAAGACCTTGGATAGGAGAAAAGTGTGCAAACGAATTCTGATCTGTTGTCAGACTGCAAAGTCTTGAAAAGAGATAAAACATCAGCAATGATCTGTTAGTGCCGATAATGCATGCAGTGGAGGAAGTGGCTACTGCAAGTGGCACCTATCTCCAGACTGCAGTCTGTGGCTCTAGCAAGTTCTCTCTCTTTTTTTTTTTTTCTTTTTTTCTTTATTCTTGCCAGAATGAACCTGCACTGCAGGGCTAGCTTTAAGGAGTGCTAAAGTTGAGGCAGTTCTTAGAAGCGAGCTACATGAGAAAGTCAAACTGTTCTCATGTATTAGTTCATATGTAGAAATGAGATGCATACCTCACACCCAGTATTTTTTAAAAGCTACTAGAATAACAAACCACTTGCACCATTGATTCCCTAGAGACCATCTCTTAAAGACAACCATGGAATAGCAAGAGAAAATAAAGAGGAGTTAAGAGCAAGTGTCCTGCACAAACTGTAAAGGTTTGTACCAAGGGCATGGCAGTCTTTGTACTTCAATGAAAGAAAAAAAAAAAAAAAAGAGCTTGCAGTTGTACTCCACTACGAAAAGTAACACACTTCATAAGGAATACACTGTATTGCTACTTACTTAACTCCAGGCGTGAATGTCTGTGGCTTTAATCAACCCTCTGTGATGGAGCTGCCCTCCCCTGGGAAATGAGGAAGAGGCCCAGCAGAACGTACGGAACGTGGCAGACGTTTTCCGAGATGGAAGGGTCCCTCAGCTGAACAGGGAGCAGCTAATGACACCAGCACTCAGGCTGCCCCAAACTAACACAGAGGTTTATTGCCCCAAGTCTGACACAGAGGTTTATTTTGTAACCCAAACAAAATACAAAGAAATGAAAGGCAACTGGCACAGAGATGCACCCTAACTGCGTTGTATCTGCTCACCTTCCTGGCAGAAGGCTAAAGCACTGAACAACTATTTTTTTCCCTGACGTCTTCATTTCTGCTTCCACCCTTCACAACTTCTGCTTTAGAAAGCAGCTCAAGTTCAGCAAGTCAGAGATAAGTCATTTCCAGTTAAAAAAAAAAAAAAAGTTAGTTTATAATAGTAGCTTTCCTGTCCCTGTATGGAAACTGTGGCAGTACATCTTCTCTCCTGCATACTCATGGAAGAGAAATAAATAGATGCAAACGAGGAAGCCCTAATCTAGTCTCACATCCTTTGTTAAAGTCAGCGCCATAGAAACAGATTTGTGCTATGATCTTTCATGATCAAGTAGTACTGCAGTCTTTAAAGAGGTGATAAAATAATTTTGAGCTTGATTATCCTGAGAATTTTTAGAAAATGTCAGTTTGTGTTACAGGCAACCATCATCTGTGACTGAGAACTAATAAGCACCTGGAAGTAGTAAAACTATTTTGAGTTTGATTATCCTAAGGCTTTTAGACTTAGTCAATTTGTGCTACAGACTATCAATCAGCTGTGATTGATTGAGAGCTAATTAGCCCTGATATTATATAAAAATCCTCAGTATAATTGAGCAGGAGTAATTTCCCTACCTCTTTAAACAGACTATAGTAAAAACAATTTAATTATGAATTTTGGCAGCCATCCTCATTTATTTACTGTTTAATAAGGCTTCCCCTGTTCATATTCCATTGCTGACAAAACCCCTGAGAGCATCGGTCCAGTCAGCTTCCCTCTCCTCCTGGGCCTGTTCTTCCATAATATCACATTAATAGTTTATACTAATTCTCACATTGTTGCTTCCCACCTCG